AAACGACCGACTTACTTATTACACTACCCGCTTCACCAACTTGCTACTCTCCTTCTTGTCTGGAACCGTTCATTATTTAAAAAATCGCAGCAATCTGTACTCAAACAGCTGAGGGGAAAATGTTGCCAAAACGCACAGGGAGCGATACAAGGCAAAACCGAAATCCTTTTCACAGAATTTGCTTTGATCTCTTACTGACTAATGAAACGTGCGGAGCCGTTCATGTGCTGATCACAGAGCTAATAACGTCCTTTTTTCTCCTAGTTTGCCTGGGACTTTTACTTTTAAATTCGGAAATGCAAAGCTTGACTAACAGAGGGGTCTTTGTGTTTGTGTGTGGTGTGTGTGTGGTTTCAGCTCACGTCTATTCACTGACTATTGAAAGCGGATTTCTCTTTTCACTTGGGTCTGAAAAGGTTCTAGACACCATAGGTTTCTGTTTGTTCTCTTTGTGGTTTCTCCACCAATCGATTTTAATCGAATATAGGCTACCTAAGCCCTTTTTTCCAAAGCGACGATTTGCTTTAGCTTGGATTTTCTTCACGTTGTCGACAGACCAAAACATACTCGTGTGTATGCATATTTTGTGCTGGAAGGAGAGATCTGGTGAGGAGTTTCAAAATACGTTCTAGGGTGTGGGATACGAATTTGTGAATCTGAAGAAAGAAAGAAAGAAAGAGAAAGAAAGAAAGTGAGAAAGAAACGAAGGAATACATTAACGAATCACAGATTGAATTTCTGAAAAAAAAATAATATGGATGAATGGTCCGATTAAAGTAGATTGAAAAAGGGTTGATACAAATAACAGATTGCCTGGCCGACAGAAAGAGAGACCGCTGGGTAAGTTAGTGAGCTTCGTTTGGCATAGAATATCCGGCTGTTTTTTTAAAGTCCTTTGACCCTCAGCCCATGCCTCAACGTAAAGGGAAACTGGCATCAGTGGTGCAGTGGTTATGGGATTTGCCGTGGCACGCTGAAGACGTGAGTTTGATTCCTGTGTGGGAAGGGTCTGCTTGTTTCTTTTTTAATCGGGTACCTTTCATTTTGGGTTGGCCCTGACAGGAAAAGTTGAGGTAGCTCACCTCCTAAGTGGTCTAAATTATGTCGAGTGCTATAAGCATTAGTAGTAGTAGTAGTAATAGTAGTAGTAGTAGTAGTAGTAGTAGTAGTAGTAGTAGTAGTAGTAGTAGTAGTAGTAGTAGTAGTAGTATCTTGTCGTGAAGAAGCCTGACATGATTGGAAAAACGCTCCTTTTAACACTGTTGACCGTTTAAAGGGTGGGACCTCCGAATTTAACGTAGCTTACCGATAATACCAAGCCTAATGAGCAGGTAGCTTAGGAAACTCTCCAAAAGAACAAAGTAAAAGAACCCATGTTTTAAAAAGTACGGAATAGCTCCCCTCATGAGTATTCGAACCAAGTTCATTAACACCGTCGTTTCGCTGGATTGCCAACTGAGCTATCAGTATTTTGGAGAAAGTTTCAATTTTTTTTTAGTTTTCTATCCAGAGCTCAGTTGCGAGGAATCGGTAGGCTGACGGATCCATGCCGAAACAGTTAAGAGTTAAATAAGGAAATGTCAAAAAATGCTTAAATATTTATAGAAGTTAATCAAGCTATACTCTCGTTCAAGCTCCCACAGGACGAGGAAATGCGCTTATACACAGCATAAAAAACGGTTTTGTTGTAGATTTCTTCTGTAAGTTACTGTAAGTTTTCCTCTCTTTCTCTCTCTCTCTCTCTCTCTCTCTCTCTCTCTCTCTCTCTCTCTTTCTCTCTCTCTCTCTCTCCCTCTCTCTCTC